GTTTGACAAGACTGTCAACAAGGAAGAGGGCCGGCAATGGAGGAGGGACGTACCAATGAGACCATCTTATCACAAGCAGAACTGGTTTGTTCCACTTTGGAGTAAGCTGTTGGAGGAAGAATCAGTTTTGCTGTCCATTTCCTTGACCGATGAAGCCTTCCGGATCGAAGGCGCAACGTTTCAGCACAAAAAAAAAACTGTCCAGATGACCTGACTGAAAAATGTTGGATTTTATACCTGGATTATTGAGCATGGACTTTGTTGTTTTCAACCAGTTTGACAAGACTGTCAACAAGAAAGAGGGCCGGCAATGGAGGAGGGGCGTACCAAAGAGACCATCTTATCACAAGTAGAACTGGTTTGTTCCACTTTGGAGTACAGTAAGCTGTTGGGGGAAGAATCAGTTTTGTTGTGTGTTTCCTTGACTGATGAAGCCTTCCAGATCGAAGGCGAAGCGTTTCAGCACAAAAAAAGAAACTGTCCAGATGACCTGGCTGAAAAATGTTGGCTTCTCTGTATAAGTTGCAGGCATGCTAATTTATGCAAAAAACTGCAACTTGTACAGCGAAAATTACAGTAAGCCTAATCTTAAAAGTAGACAATGTGTCAGCCTCACGGACAGAAATTGGAAGTTGGTTCCACAAGAGAGGAGCCTGATAACTGAAAGATCTTCCTCATTCTGTTTTTGTAAACTCTAGGAACCACAAGTAAACCTGCAGCCTGAGAGCGTAGTGCTCTGTTAGGCAAATATGGAACAATAAGATCTGTAATATAAGATGGAGCTAGGTTGTTGAGAGCTTTGTAGGTGAGAAGGAAGATTTTGAATTCTATTCTGGATTTGACAGGGAGCCAATGGAGAGAGACATTGGTTATGTACTGTAACCCCAGATTCTATGAATATAGGCGTAGCCCTTTAAGGCTGTTGCTGATGGGTTTTATCCCGTTATGCGAAGCATTACACTGAAAAGTTTAGTCCACGCCCACCTGCTGTGTGGGCCCCATCCGGTCCGTATAAGTTATGTTAAGAGCGGGTAATCGGCTCCCAAATAGCTTTTTCTTCAGCCATTTAGGAGCCAGTGAGGCCCGACGCTTAAAGGGCTACTCCTATATTCATTCTCACACTCTGTGAAGCTCTTTTAATACCCAATCATGTTGTCAATTGACCTAATTAGTGTTAATTGGTCTTCCAGCTGTTCGTTATATGCTCATTTTCCTTTTTCCAGCCACTTTTTGCTACTTGTCCCAACTTTTTTGGGATTTGTTGAGACTGTGAAATTTTGAATCAACATATTTTTCCTTTAAAATGTTACATTTACTCAGATTAAACTTTTGATCTGTCATCTGTTATATTACAAATAAAATATTGACATTTGCCATCTACACATCGTTGCATTCAGTTTTTATTCACAATTTGTTTAGTGTCCCAACTTTTTTGAAATCTGGTTTGTATTTCTGGGTAACTCCTGATCGCTCCTCCCGCCTGGAGGAGAGCATCC